ATTTTGATCCATACATTAGTAATGTCTGACTGGGCCTCATGCCACTTTATGTTCCATAAATTGGGCCCCGAGGTCAAAAAGGTTAAGGACCCCTGCTCTACTACATTCCTTCAGGACCACCCTTACGTCATTTCTCTTCCTGTCCACACCATAGTAAAACATCTTAAACTCTGCTCCAGTGCTTTGATCCTTGCTGTCCTTCCACTTGGTGTCTTGGACACATGAAACATCTTCCTTCCTTCTCTGCATCATGTCAGCAGCTCTCTACATTCACCTGTCGTTATCGCTACATTTGACTTTCCTCCTCTCTGTCTCCTGGCACAAGCAAAGAGATTTGAAGTGATCGAAATATCAGCTAGATTTAGATGCTGTGAGGCTGCAGAGCTCAGTCTACCTTCGTTCTGACTGCAGGTGTCCGATGAGGACCSTCTCATGCCGGGACCATCTGCATCGGGTCAGTCTAAAGCAGAGGCCTCCTGCTCTGCAGAGCATCAGGTCCAGCTGCTGCAGAAACAGCTGCATCAGCAGGAGCAGCAAGCACTCGCAGCTTCAGCTCAGGTACTCTGCATTGTTATAGTGTTTTTACTGCCTGCCTGACATACAGGAACTTTACTTTCAAACTTTCACCAAAATGACTCCAACTCTGTCCTTTTTTAGCATAAAGTGATCTTAAAACTGACACCTCTTGTTGCTACGTGGTCTAAAGACAGATGTGTGTTTCTCCTGCTGCCTTCAGGTTCACGTGCTCCAGGAGCAGCTGTCGGTGGAGTCGTGTGCGCGGACCGAAGCCCAGGCCCGGGTCCAGAGGCTGCTGCAGCAGAACACGGACCTGCTGCAGCACATCTCGCTGCTGGTYAAACAGATCCAGGAGCTGGAGCTCAAATCTGCTGGACACTTAACTTCAAGTGAGTGTTTAATGTGATCTTCTCTGAGCTTCCTGTCTGACAACATTTAATTCATTTTCTTTTTAGCTTTAGTTTTTTTAGGCAAACATCAAACCTAAAAGGCAGCTTTTGTTCTCGTCCCATTTTTGTTTTGCTTCTTTTTCCTGATTTAGCTTCTTTTTATTATCTCCTCTGGCGTGTAATTAATTATCCCATGACAGGCGCTACAGTTTTCCACAAGTGTGTGTGTGTGTGTGTGTGTGTGTGTGTGTGTGTGTGTGTGTGTGT